CCGGCGGGCTCGCCCCGCTCCCGCCCTTACTTGGCGTAGTAAACCCAGCCGTCCTTGGTGGTGCGCTCCTCCCAGCCCGGCGGCAGCTCCTCCTCGCTGTCCGTGTCCTCCAGCCCCGCGTACTTGAGCGCGGCCATGGGCTCTGCGCGGCCCCGCTCCGCCGGCGCGCCCCGCTTCCGCCCGGCCCCGCGGCACCATGGGAGCTGTAGTTCCCGCGGGGTCCCCGGGGCGGCGGGGACACTCCGGTCACCGAGGGCACGGACACCGCAAGGGGCCCCGGCTGAGCTCGGCACAGGAATCGCAGGGGTTTGGGCCGCTCTGCTCAGCCCTAGTGCAGGCCGCAGAGGTGATGAGGGGTCTGGGACACCTCGTATGAGGAGGGACCGCGGGAACTGGGCACGTTTAGTCTGGAGAAGAGAAGACTGAGAGGGGATCTCATTAATGCATATAAAAATCTCAAAGGTCGGTGCCAAGAGGATGGTGCAAGTCTCTTTCTGTGGCAGTGGGACAAGGAGCAGTGGCCACAAACAAAAACACAAGTTCCACCTCAACGTGAGGAAGAAGTTCTTTACATGGAGGGTGGCAGAGCACTGCAACAGCTGCACAGGGAGGTCGCTGATTCTTCCTCTCTGGAGACATTCAAAACACACCTGGACACCTTCCTGTGCCACCTCCAGTGTCTGTTCCTGTGCCTTGGAAAGGGGATTGGAGTGGATGATCTCCAAAGGTTCCTTCCCATCTGAGCAGTTCTGTGATTTTCAGGGCAGGAGGTGCTTCCAGCCCTCTGTTTTCAAAGGACTGAATACAGCGAGGCCCTGGGAAGCAATGGGAAATGTGCTGCTCTTTAGGCTTTTTGCCCTTAGCTGTCACCACCTCCTCTCGGGGATGAGACTCTTCCTCACAAGTCAGGGATCCTTGTTGAGGAAGGCCTGGCTGAAGAGAAGTACCTGGCTGTGCTAACACCCACCTGGCACCTCGCAGGTTGCTTCGCCTGCTCAGAGGCACAAACACAGTCACCTTTGCCAAGCCTGGCTCACCTGGTGACACAACACAGTCAGCTGCAAAGGCTGAAGCATTCGGTGAGCTGGCAGTAACCTGCAGTAACTCTGTGCTGGTGGCTGAAGCTGTCTCCCCAGTGCTGCTGTGACAGATGGAGGGGGAATGGCTGTCACCATTGCTCAGCTGCCTTTTATTTCCGGACCTGTGTGCTGTCATATTTCTACCTGTTTGTATAACCAAACCCAACAGCCAGCGGTTGAAACAGAATTGTTGTCCTTTGGTGGGGTGCTTTAAACAAAAAGCAAGGCAGAGGCAGCGCTGGGCAGAGGCTGTGAGCACTTCTCACCGCAGCAGGTGGCAGTGCAGCCTCGCAGATGCACCGCAGCCTCTGACCCTCTAAGCCGAATTTTCATGCGCCATTTGAGATACTGACCTATATCGTTCCCTCACTCCCCACTAATGGCATCCGTATCTGGCCAGAAAAAGCAGCCTGAATTTTTTTTCTGCCCGGCTGCTCCCATTGCTTTGCACGCTCCCCCAAGGGATTACACGTACTAAATGATCTCCTCCTGCTAGAAATGAAAACTCATGTATCATCAACAGCCTGTTCTCATGCGAGTATTACTGGCAGTATTAAAAAAAGCTTTGACTATACTTTCTTGGGTAAAAATATGGGAAGGGAAGATTCAGTGACACACTTGCCTCTGGTCCAAGAAGAGGTAACTGAATAGTGAGATGGGCCAGGTCCCAAGAAAATAGGTTATTTAGGCTCATATCCAAAGTACAGGGGGAAAAAAACAGTTTTAATCTAGCAGTAGATAGGGATATGGAGTTGTTAGTTTTCTTCCTGTTGCAGTCTGTCAATATTCAGCATCCAGCACTCCATGAATTGCATTCAGTGGGAATGTGGAAATCATTTGTCTGACATCCTATCCCAGCCATCTGGACAGCATGAAGTCTACATTATGCCCTGGATAAATACAGCAATATTTATGCATTTCAGTGATAAGGGTGTGTGCAGTGAACCCCATTGCCCCCAGGAGAGGATCACCCTGCCCAGCAGAACCAAACCAGCCAAGAAAGGCTCCTGGGCTGCCTGCCCACACCTCAGCTCAGCCTTGGCTGTTTGCATTCCCTCCCCACATGTCCAGGCTTTTCCTGCCTACCCAGGCAACCATGAGTGTGGACTACACAGCCACACTGTCTCCATGCTTTGGCTCTGAGCCCCTCTGCAAGGACTGCGACCAGTCTGGAGTGACCCAGCACAAGGCAGACACAGGGCAGGGACAGGGACTAGGATGTAGGGAGAGGATCCTTCCCAGATAGGACTTCATGCACTTGGAAAGGGCTATGGCCTGGGACATTCAGACCAGAGAGATAAACAGGGGTCCTGGCAGTGGACAGGGAAGCTGAATCTCCCAAGAACCCTGCTCATCCCCAGAGTTATGCAGCCACAGGTCTTTTCTTCCCCAGTGGACACCCCTTGGATCCAATCTCATTGGGCTACAACTGGCAGCTTTCCACCCTCCATCCACTCTTTACATATAGGCCAGCCTGCCTATAGCTACCCCAAATCCAAGGCCCCTCACAGCTTTCCCCCATGTGCACCCTGGTGTCCTGGTCTTCCATGGGCATCACTAGTGGGGTTAGTGGCCAAGGTGTGTAAGGTGTGTCCCACTTGTCCTCCGTGCCTGCCAGGTCTCTGCAGGCAGGCCCCAGGTGGGCTCAGACCCGTTTCCCTACCGCATCTTATAAAGAGCACAGCAGGTTCTTAACATCTTTATTAGTTTGTTGGTTTATTTCCAACACAGTAACTCCTCTCTACAGCAACAGGTTAGTTAAATCCAGTTTACATACTGCTGTCTCATGAGTGCTGCGGCCTCGATGCCGCTGTGACAAAACCAGGCTGCACTCAGACAGGAAAATGTGTTAAATTCCGCTGTGACTGGGAAAAAAAGGAAAACCAACAAAAATCAGAAGAACAAACCACCAGGGAAAACCAAACCAACCAACCAACAAAACCAAGGTGAGGAACTGAAGGCGAGCACGGCCACACCACCTCCAGGGAAACCACACAGCACTGCTTGGACAAGAATGCAAGGAGGAGTGAACCCAAAAAGGTCAGGGATTGGGCAAACCCTTATATATATATTATGTATAGGTATTTATATATATATATATCATCTGGAAGGACACGCTGAGAAAACAAGAGATCGCAGCGGTATCTACCGTAAAAAGGAGCTACATAGCTTTCAGAGTCACACCAAGAAGGAAGCACACAGCAGAACGAAGTGGAGGACAAAGGGGGACACTGGTGTTTTGGGGTGGCCTTTTACTATGTGAGGGTTTGGGTGGGGCACGGGTCTCAGGGCCAAAAGCCCTCATACACCCGCTGGGAACCCCAGGACCTCTGTGCCCTTCACTGGGGAGCAGGGATGGGGTCTGAGGGTAGAATACTTTTGTGGGGCTGGGTGGGACCTGCTTCCAGCAGGCTGGTTCTGCTCGCCCAGGTGGTGGCACCTGGTGGGTTTCCCTGCTCAGGTCCTCCATGGACCACCTACAGAGACCTCAGCACCCATCACCAGAGCCAGGGCCATCCTTGCCCGTGCCTCACAGTGGGCACAGGAGGGGCTGGGCACTGCTGCTGTGGCAGCAGAGGCTGGGTGGCCATCACTGGGATTATGCAATGACAGACAGGGTCTCCATGCCGAGTGCGAGAGGCAAGAGCCACCTGGAGTTGGTGGCCAGATGGGGCCCCACGGCCCGGGGGAGCCAAGCCCTTGAGAGATGCCCTGCCCCGCTCAGTGCCAGGCAAAGTGCTGGAGGTGGGGATGCGGATTAGGGGAGCCATGGTGGGTCTGGCCAGCCGTGTGGGCAAAGCCAGACCATGGAGTGCTCCCTACATGCCACAGGTCACCCCACACTGCCAGCATCTTGTGCTGAGGCACCCTGTGGGGCAGAGGGTGCTGAGGGCTCCCCAGCACGGTGCGGGGAGTGTCTCATCTTATTGCTAATGACTCCTCGGTGATGACACCCACAGGTTGTGGCAAAACTTGAGGTGGGATTTGCTGTGTGACATCCCCTAAAATAGTGCCCTCTGGACCCTGGCAGGCTCAGCCCAAGAGCTGGGAGTGGAACTGACAGTGTGGCAGGGACTGAGCCAGCCAATTCCCCCCTCCCCAGTGCATTTTTGGTGACAGGCAATAATTGTCCTCCTTGCAACAAGGGACGAAGGAAGTGCCACCACTAGTGAGGGCATGGGCAGAGGCAGGGAGACACTTGTGCCACCCTCCTGCCCTTATAGATTCTGGACTAGGGCTGACCCCTCTTCACTTGTCCCAGGGCAGCCCTCAGGGTACATGACCAGGGCGAAGGGAGTTTGGGATGTGATTTCTCATGAGGCTCACAGCCAGCTCTGGGGTAGCAAGTCCTGGGTGTGCTGGGGGATCCCATGCTAGCTCTCCCTAGAGAGGGCCATCAGGGAGAAATGAAAACTGCATCCCTAGGAACAGACCAATGACCTCCCAGTAAGCGCTGCTCCCTGTTCCTGTTTTCCTTTTGGTCAGCCATCAGTTGAACTTGGGAGACCAACCTACCTCCTGAGTCATCTCCACGTGCTGTCCCATCCCATCATCCCATCCCATCCCAACATTCTGTCCCCATCTCACCACCCTGACCCTGCTACCCCATCCTGGCCCTGTCCCACTGCCACCCACCCTC